AGAGACTAGTGGGGGGGGGGCAGGAGAGTGTTAAAGAGTTAAAAGAGGGCCGTGTGTAGAGAGAAGCTCAAGGGGCGGATACATAACATTTACCGTGTACTACTGTAAATCAATGTTAGCAGATGGTAAAAGTGGAGTGGACATAGAACATGACGTAATAAATCAATTTAAGACAGAGTAAAGTTACCCCTTGGAAAAAAACAACATAGTAACTACTGTATGGCAAGTTACTATGTAGAACATGTAGCATGTCCATTACTCTAGTTTAGCAAGGAATTCTTCAGTAAACTAAATCACAAAAACAAAAAAGGGGAAATTTGGATCACCAACTATTGAGTATAAAATCATTGCTCGAGCATGCAGGGATGAAGTCAGGAAGGCCAAAGTGCAATTGGAGTTGCAGCTAGCAAGGCATGTGAAGGGTAACAAGAAAGGTTTCTATAAGTACATCAGCAACAAGAGGAAGATCAGGGACAGTGTGGGTCCCTTACTGAATGGGGAAGGCAACATAATGACAGAGGATGCAGAAAAGACTGAAATGCTCAACGCCTTTTTCACGATGGGCTTCACAGGCAAGGTCAGCTCCTGGTCTACTGCACCTGGCAGCATAGTTTGGGGAGGAGGTGAGCAGCCAACAGGGGCAAAAGAACAGGTTTGGGGACTATTTAGAAAAGCTGACACGTACAAGTCCATGGGGCTAGATGGGATACACTCAAGGTTGCCAAGGGAGCTGGCTGATATGATTGCAGAGCTGGTGGCCATTATCTTCGAAAACTCATGGCAATAAGGAGAGGTCCTGGACGATTGGAAAAGGTTAAATATAGTGCCCATGTTTAGGGAAGGGAACAAAATGGGTCCAGGGAACTACAGACCAGGCAGCCTCCCCTCAGTCCCTGGAAAAAAAAAAATAAAAAAAAAAAAATCATAGAGCAGGTCTTCCAAGAATCTATTTCTAAGGACTTGGAGGAGAAGAATATGATTAGGAACAGTCAGCATGGATTCACCAGGGGCAAATCATGCCTGAACAACCTGATTGCCTTCTATGATGAGGTGACTGGCTCTGTGGATGTGGGGAGACCAGTGGATATAGTGTATCTCGATTTTAGCTAGGTTTTTTATATGGTCTCCAAAAACATTCTTGCAGGAAAGCTAAGGAAGTACAGGCTGGATGAAGTAAGGCAGATAGAAAACTGGCTGGAGCAGCGGGCTCAGGCTATAGTAATCAATGGCTCAATGACTAGTTGACAGCTGGTATCAAGTGGACTGCCTTGGGAGGTCAGTCCTGGGACTGGGTTTGTTCAATATCTTCATCAGTGACCTGGAAGATGGCCTGCAGTGCACCCTCAGCAAATCTGCAGATGACACCAAGTTGGGGGGGTGTAGTAGATATACAGGAGATTAGGGTCAAGATTCCGATTGACCTAGACAAATTGGAGGATTGGGCCAAAAGGAATCTCATGAGGTTCAATAAGGACAAGTGCAAAGTCCTGCACTTAGGACAGACAATCAATTGAAGCAGTACAGGCTGGAGGCTGACTGGCTGGGCAGCAGCTCTGTAGAAAAGGACTTGGAGGGTTACAACAGACAAGACAACGAATATGAGCCAGCAGTGTGCCCTTGTTGACAAGAAGGCTAATGACATACTGGGCTGCATTGGTAGGAGTGTTGCCAGCAGGTCAAGGGAAGTGATTATTCTCTATTCAGCACTGGTGAGTACTCCAGAGGTGGCCTGTGCTTAGTTTTGGGCCCCACACTACAGAAAGGATGTGGACAAATTAGAGAGGGTCCAGCAGAGAGCAACAAAATGGTGAGGGAGCTGGGGGACATGACTTATGAGGAAAGACCAAGGGAACTTGGCTTATTTAGTCTAAAGAAGAGGACACAGAGGGAATTTAATAGCAGCCTCAACTACCTGAAGGGGGTGGGGTTGAAGAAGAGGATGGAGCTACTTTTCTCAGTGGTGGCAGATGACAAAACAAGGACCAACAATCTCAAGTTGCAGCAAGGGAAGTTGAGGCTAGATATTAAGAAGAATTTTCTCACTAGGAGGGTAGTAAAACACTTGGAGCAGGTTACCCAGAGAAGTTGTGGACTCTCCATCCTTGGAGCTTTATAAAGCTGGTTAGACAAAGCCTTGGCTGGGATGATCTAGTTGGGGCTGGTCCTGCTTTGAGCAGGGGTTGGACTAGATGACCTCCTGAGGTCCCTTCTAACCCTAATTTTCTATGATTCTAGCCCAGTGATGCTCAACCAGGATGCACAGCCCCTGCTCCAGTGCAAGGAGGTAAGCACACCGCTTGCTCTTCCCCCTGCCTGCCCCAAAGTTCTGCAGACAAGGGGCACCTGCGGCTGCCCCCTCTTACTCTGCAGCAGCCATTCTGAGCTGCCTGCTCTGGCTCTTTCCTCCACTGCTCCCAGGGCTGGTGGAAGGGGGTCGCAGAGAGTGGATGGCTCTAGACCTGTGCCAGTCCTGAGAGGAGCAGTCACAGTAGCAGAAGCTGTGCTTCTCCCCTTAGGTACAGGCTAGGGATAGAGTGGGGAAAGTGTTTCCCCCCACCAGAACCTGTGTGTGTTCTGTTGCTCACCCCTCCTACCCTCTCAGCACCCCCACATGACGTGTGTGTAGCCCAGCACCTGGTCCCTGCTGGCTGGGTGTCCCCAGGCTCTATCTGTTTTGACCCCAGGGCTGAAGTCTGTGGGGGATCCTAAGGGCAGAAATTGGCCCTTCAGATCTCAGTCCCAAGAATGATCTGGCCCATGTGCCACACTGGGAAAAAAACATGTGGGGCAGGAAAAGCCAGGGAAGTAGCTGGAAGGGGCAACTGCCACGCTGTGTCAAGCCGTGCTATACCGAAATTAATTAACACCACATTTATTAATAATATAATGCCAATATTATAATATTCATATTAATTTGCATTAGTTTTTGCAATATGGTGCTGCTAAGTTCTGGACATTTGCAGAGGGGTGCCTTGAACCTAAAGAGGAGAGAGCCACTGCTCTAGTCCAGGGGCTGGCAACCTTTAACAAAAACTGTGGGCTGGAACAACCTCGATCTGG